TTTTTTCCTCATAATGATCCAATCCTCCTTTTCTCTAAGAGCCTTATTAGACATGATCCCCCATCTCTCCCCCCATGAAATTTTAATACAGATAATAGACATAATTGATACCATTTATATGGTGTGGCCATTTGGGAGGGTCACAAACAGTTGTAATAGCTAAGATTTTTTTTATTTTTAATTTTTTTGCCCCACTCCCCAAGAACCAGTGTCCTAGGCTAGGGCCTCACAGAACATAGACTTTCAGACTAGAACTCTCTGGCCTGCCAACCAGGTTGTTGGTGTGTGACTGGTGGCAAAATCACAGACAGAATTGTCTTGGTAGAAATCCCTTGATCTTTGAAATAAGAAAGAAGTGATAGTTTCTGATCCAAACCCTGTGGTGACACGCATTGGGAAACCTTCCTCGTGTATGACATTAGTTGGTGTTCAGGGAGAGTAAAGAGATAGAATGACTGAGAATTTCAGGAAGCCTAAGATGAAAACAACAGTAAAGGGTTAAGGAAAAGTTAAGAGCAAAAAGGGGAAGGCCTTCCTATTCCCTGCCCCTCTTTGCTCCCACATTACCTTATTCATAATTAGCATCCTATAGCGTTTAAAAAGTAAACATATATTCAGCACTTCCTAGGTGTCAGGGAGTAAGCTAGCACATTACTGTTTTTTTGTTTGTTTTTTGACACGAAGTCTCACATTGTCACCAGGCTGGAGTTTAGTAAGGCTGGACTGCAGTGGCTTGATTTTGGCTTACTGCAACCTCCACCACCTGAGTTCAGGCAATTCTCCTGACCCAGCCTTCCAAGTAGCTGGGACTACAGGCATGTGCCACCACGCCCAGCTAATTTTTGTATTTTAATAGAGATGGGGTTTCACCATGTTGGCCAGGATGGTCTCAATCTCTTGACCTCATGACCCACTCACCTGGGCCTCCCAGATCATGCTGGAATTACCGTGAACCACTGTACCCAGCCATACTTTTTACGCATATTAACTAAGTCCATTCTCACAATAGCTGCTTGCAGTAGGTTATAATATTCCACTTTAGAGATGTGGTTAAGAGAGTCATGCACAAAGCCCTCCCAAGTCAGCTTGGTCCTTCTCACACCACTCTCTCCCTCTACCCCTAACACATAATAGCATAATGTAGTAGAGTTAGCTGTGTAGTGACTGCCTCTGTTCCTGGAATATGAGCTCTCTACAAGTAGGAATGGTGCTTATTCATCTTTGCCTATCAAGCTTCCGGTATAGTGTGTGGCACAGAGTAGATATTTGATTATTGATAGATGGGTGTGTGGGTGGATGGACAGACTGACAATTGAGTATACTTTTGTGTGAGTAAAATTCTTGTGTGAGGGGACCCACAAATCTTTCCAGCTATAATCTGGTCCTGTAGGTCTCTGTCTTCTTGGGTTCTGCACTACTAATAGGAGTTCCTTGAAGAAAAGTAGTTAAAAACTCTTCTCAGTCCCTGTTTTGGTTACTCCTTTCATACCTGACTCTGCCTCCCTTGGGTCCCCCCTGCCATTCTTCTCTGCAGCTGGGTAGCATCTTCATCACCTTTGTAGATTCCCCTTAGTACCATCTTAAAATCAAGGAGACTCAGGCAACTGCTGCAGAGCAGTGGAAAAAAAAAATCTATTTCCTGATTAAAGATGGCACTTCCTAAACATCTTATCTTTTCCGTGGAATCTAGGCACAAAGGATGTAGCTGTTAACAGAAAAGTCAAGGTGCCCCTGTCCTCATCGACCTTATGTACTAGTGAGGGAGACAGAATACACAAGCTGGAGGCATCATATTACCTGACTTCAGATTATACCCCTAAGCTGTAGTAATCAAACCAGCATAATGCTGGCATAAAAACAGATGCATAAATCAGTGGACCCAAATAGAGAACCCAGAGATAAATTCACATACCCAAAGTCAAATTATTTTTGACAAAGGCACCAAGAACATACACTGAAGAGGCAGAATACCCTCTTCAAGCTGGGAAAATTGGATATCCATATGTAGAAGAATAAAACTAGACCCTCTCACCATATACAAAAATCAAATTCAAATGGAGTTTAGACTTTAAGACAAATTATGAGCCTACCAGAAGAAAACTTGGGGGAAAACTCTCCAGGACATTGCTCTGAGCAAAGATGTCTTGAAAAGACCTCAAAAGCCCAGACAACCAAAGAAAAATGAGCAAATGCAAATGGGATCACATGAAGCTAAAAAGCTTCTGCACCACAAAGGAAACAACCAACAAAGTGAAGAGACAGCCCGTCGTGTCAATCACATTGGTGTCCCTGTTCGGGCACCAGCTGTGGTGAGTGTCACATTGGTGGTCCCCTATTTGGGCACCAGCTGTGACGAGTGTCACAGTCTTGTCTCCTCACACCGGGGCACAGCTGTGGCATTGATGTCACACAGGGCACCTGCTGTGGTGTTGGTCACATTGGTGTCCCTGCTTGAGCACCAGCTGTGATGGGTATAATGTCAGGGTCACCACCTGAGACATTGATCCCCGCCTGCAGAGGTCTGTCCTGCATACCCTGACTCAACAATGGATGAATAAAATGCAATTCACCCACACCAGAATACAGTGAATCTGAGTGGGCTAGGGTTGGTTGTCAGCTGCTTTCAGAGGGCGCTTGCAGCTAACTGACCACCACTTACTACGCCTCACATTTATTCAGTATAGATTTAATAACAGAGGTTCTAAGTCAACAGGCTTGTGTATAATTAACATGGTTAAAAAAGTGATTTTATGAATGATAAAAGGTCTTTGTTCTAGGGCCCAAAGTAAACACTGTTAACAGGTAGTTCCCCTTTGACCTCCCCCTGAGAGGACCATCTAGCACAAAGCTTACATGAGCAAACAAATTAGAGTTAGGGACAAAGGAATGTGCAATAAACAGACTTAACTGAGGAAGGTTTTATTATCCTAATCTTTTACCCTGTGACTTAAAGTTCTAACGTAATAAACTGGCTGCCTTCAGCCCATTCCATTAAAACCTTTCAGCCTTCCAAAAGGTTTGAGACTATAATCTTCTAACTTTCTGTAATATTTTGCCAGCCACCCCAAGTGAATCCCAACAACAACCCACAGAATAGGAAGGAGAAAATCTTTGTAAATTACCCAACTGGCAAGGGATTAATAACCAGAATATATCAGGTGCTCAAATAACTCATAGGAAAAAAATTTCAGTTTAAAAATGGGCAAAAGATCTGAAGAGATATTCCTTAAAAGAAGACCTACAGATGGCCAACAGGTTTATTTTAAAAATGCTCAACATCACCAATCATCCGAGGAATACAAATCGAAACTTCAGTGAGATATGTCACGCCAGTTAAAATGGCTATTATAAAAAAGACAGTAATGGATGCTAGCAAAGATGTGGAGAAAGAGGAACCTTCATACACTGTTGGTGGGAATGTAAATAACTACAACCACTATGGAGAACAGTCTAGAGGCTCCTCAGAAAACTAAAAAGCGAACTATCATGTGATCCAGGAATCCCACTGCTGGGTGTATACCCAAAAGAAAAGAAATTAGTAAATCAGCAAAACAGGAAGATAACCTGTTCTTTCATGTTCATCAGAACACTATTCACAATAGCCAAGATATGGAATCAACCTAAGTGTCCATCAGCAGTTGAGTAGATAAAGAAAATATAATATATACACGCAATGGAATATTATTCAGCCATTAAAAAAAAAAAGACAGAATCATGCCACTTGCCACAAAGTAGATCCAACTGGAGGACATTATGTTAGGTGAAATAAGCCAAGTACAGAAAGACAAATATTGCATGTTCTCTCTCACGTGGAAGCTAAAAAAAAAATTGATCTCACAGAGATAGAGAATAGAATGACGATTACCAGAGGCTAGTGGGGAGGAGGGAATAAAGAGGGATTGGTTATTAGGCACAGAAATACAGTTAGATAGAAGTAATATAATCTGGTGTTAGGTAGCACAGCAGGGTGACTGTAGTTAATGATTTTTATTATATATTTCAAAATAACTGGAGTGGAATTGAAATGTTCTAGCACAAAGAAATCATAAATGCTTGAGGTGATGGAAACCGCAATTACCCTGATTTGATCATTATACATTGTATGCTTGTATCAAATTTCACATGTACTTTATAAATGCATACAACTAAAAACTAAAAATTAAAAGATAAATCTAATCAAAAAACAAAACCCAAACACAGTGATTTCAGATAATTATATATGCTATTAAAAAATGTGAAAAGGAAATGGGAAAAGCCCTCCTTAGACAGAAGCAGTTAAAGAAAATTCACAGTAAGAGCTACAATTTTGGCAGAGGTGTTAATGGAAGTGTTAAAATGATTTGAGGAATTATTTGTACATGTATGTGTGTACTATAGTATACTGTTTTAAGAACACAGGGTCTGGAGCTACTGCCTAAATTCAGTGTCTCCCTCCCTCCCTCCCTTCCCTCCTTCCTTGCTTCCTTTCTTTTTTGACATAGTCTCTCGCTCAGGCTAGAGTGCAGTGGCACAATCTCAGCTCACTGCAACCTCTGCCTCCCGTGTTTACATTATTCTCCTGCCTCAGCCTCCCAAGTAGCTGGGACTGCAGGTGCACACCACCACGCCTGGCTAATTTTTCTATTTTTAGCAGAGGCGGGGCCTCCCCATGTGGGCAAGACTGGTCTCTAACTCCTGACCTCAAGTGATCCACCTGCCTCAGCCTCCCAAAGTGCTGGGATTACAGGCATGAGCCACTGTGCCCAGTCTATACTGCCTAAATTCAAATTTTAGCCCCACTCCATGGTTGTGCACAAGTGACACCATCTTTGTCCCTTCAGCTGCAAAGTGGTGATAATTGTGTTGCCTAACCTACAGAGGTGACATGCAGGTTCAATGAAATAATGCATGGAAATTCAACAGAGCCTGGTGTTTGAAAAATGCTGTCAATAGTAGCTGGTTTTATTGTTCATGTGGACTTTATTTTTTAACCATCTCCCATCTTCCCTTTGCTTTTTCAGCTCCAGGGCCTGAGCCACAATGTGATCTTCACCTTGGATTCCTTGTTAAAAGGAGACCTAAAAGGAGTCAAAGGAGTAAGTGTTCAGAAATTTGATTTTCACTTTAACTTGAAAGGATTGACATTTTTTTTCTCTTTTAAGATCATAGTAGTAGTTGTATTTGAAAGACTCTTTGAACATTTTTAGCATTAAAAATGCTCTTGGAAAATTATCATTGGAAAAAATGTGCCACTTCACATAATGACATTGACAGAGGAATGAGATTAGGCACTTTTAAGAAGATTGGGAAGGTCCTCTGTGGGTGGTAGAGAGAAGCTAAAGCCCGAGTCTTGGCTTCCACAGTGTGACCACTGGGAACCCAGCCTCTCTGTACCTCGGGTTCCTGCTTCATCAGCATGACCAGGGTGCTCACCCTTCTTTCCTCTCTTAGTCTTCTTGTATGTAATACATGGTGTGATGTTGGCACAGTGGTCACACCTATAATCTGAGCACTTTGGGAGACCATGGTGGGCAGATGGCTTGGGCATCAAGACCAGCCTGGGCAACATAACGAGACCCCCATCTCTACAAAAAATGTACAATAATTAATTATCCAGGGGTGGTGGTGAGTGCCTGTAGTTGTAGCTACTCAGGAAGCTGAGGTGGGAAGATTGATTGAGCCTGGGAGTTCAAAGCTACAGTGAGCTGTGATTGCACCACTGCACTTCATTCTAGGCAACAGTGAGAACCTATCAAAAAAAAAGATGTAGTGTACCTGAAAGTGAAGTTCCCAGTGTCCTGTAAAGGAAGCAGCTCTTGCTGAGATACTATTTCAAAAATATTTATTCATTTTTGGCAAAAGTAGATGCAATTTTAATTTTATTTTCTCTTTTCTAAGGATCTCAAGAAGCCATTTGACAAAGCCTGGAAAGATTATGAGACAAAGTTGTAAGTGGTTTTTGGTTTGTTTGTTTTTAAATATTGTTGTGAATTTTGAAAGAAAAAAAAAACTGGAAAAAGGACAGCCTTAACTAATAACTTCTCAACAAAAACCTGTTTCGTATATCCTCTAGTGTATCCTTAGTAGGGCTAAGAGTTTGGGTGCACTGACCTAAAGTACTTGCATCTCTTGTGCTATTTGTCTAAAGGGAGAGGTACTTTTACTATCAGTTATTTTGGTATTTATGGTTGCTGACACTATCTATCAAGTTATAGGATTATAACTCTCATTATAGATAGCATGTAACTATGAACTATTTATGTTTCTGTATAGTATAACAGTTGGGAAATAGTAAAAGTAACAATTAATACTTGTGACATCTTCATGCCTGCCAGGACCTACACTAAGTGTTTTTTTGCATGTGTGATCTCCTCACAGGAACCTATCTGTACAACTTTAGTCTCTCTATATATACATCAGGGAAAATGAAGCCTAGAGAGGCTAAGGGGCTCGTGAAGGCCAGACAGCTAGTTAACTGTCCAGCTGCCATTCACTCCAGGTCTGAGCACAGAGCCTCGGCATAGCATGGGCACTGAGGTCAGACCACCAACCTCGTGGAGTTCTTGTAAGGGATTAGGGCAATAAGCACTTTGCAAGGTGCTTGGCCCATCTTTATACTGTGTGTATCATACCACGTTCCTTTATTATTATTACTCTGAGAATTTTATAACACCAAGCCAGAAGGTGGGGTGGGAAGAGATACGTATTTTTAAAGCTTTTAATAAAAGTCTTGGCTATAAACTTGGACAACTGTAAACGTAAGAGAATAAAACATTTTTGTTGGCAGCAATAGCAGCAGGATAAAAACAAGCAAAAGGAAAACAAATTCAGGATTAAATATGTTTTTCCCAAACTATTCTTGTAATTGCTTATGTAATAAGGGCATTGTTAGGGACTTGCTGTCTTAGGAGTATTTCTGTGCATTGACAGTTCTAAATGCAGTAGAGCACAAAAAGGTTCTTTAAAGGGTCAACTGATAAATGAATGCTGTAGGCTATGATCTTTATGTATGAAAGTAGGTCATGAATATTCACACTTTTAAGCTAAGTACTGCCCCTGTCCAGAGGCAACCGTGCATGAACTTTGGAATGGAATAGAATTAAGTACTTAGAAAATGGGAGGACAGCCAGGTGCGGTGGCCTGTACCTATAGTCCCAGCGACTCGGGAGGCTGAGGTGGGATGATCGCTTGAGCCCAGGAGTTCTGGGCTATAGTGCACTATGCTGATCGGATGTCCACACTAAGTTTGACATCAATATGGTGACCTCCTGAGAGTGGGGGACCACCAGGTTGCCTAAGGAGGAGTGAACTGTTCCAGGTCAGAAACAGAGCAGGTCAAAACTCCCATGCTGATCAGTGGTGGGATCGCACCTGTGAATAGCCACTGCACTCTAGCCTGGGCAACATAGCAAGACCTTGTCTCTAAAGAAAAGAAAATGGGAGGACAAAGGGGGAAAAAAAACCTTGCTCTAGATTTGTAGAATATGTCTTCTTTGTGGAACATAGGAACAACAAAACATGATTATATGTGCTTTGTCAATTAAAGTACTAACAATATTAGGTGGTACAACTGTATATATTTTAAATCTCTGTTGGCTGAAGACCTAGAAGTACCTGGTGGTTAGTATTATAAGTGACTTAGAATATAAAGCATTCTAAGATGGTGCAGGTGCTCTTCCTTGTGCTTCTCACTCAGCATAAGAACGTGCCTGGCTGTATACATTTTTCTCTTTTTCTTTTTTCTTTCTTTTTTTTTTTTTTTTGAGATGGAGTTTCACTCTTGTTGCCCAGGCTGGAGTGCAGTCACACCATCTTGGCTCACTGTAGCCTCTGCCTCCTGGGTTCAAGTGATTCTCCTGCTTCAGCCTCCCAAGTAGCTGGGATTGCAGGTGCCTGCCAGTAACACCCAGCAAATTTTTTGTATTTTTAGTAGAGATGGGGTTCCGCCATGTTGGCCAGGCTGATATCGAACTCCTGGCCTCAGGTGATTCACCCACCTCGGCCTCCCAAAGTGCAGGGATTACAGGCGTGAGCCACTGTGCCCAACCTGGCTGTTCATTTTTCTGTATTGTCCTCTACAATCTAAATTTGGTGAGGACCGCAACCACATTATTCTTATATGTGGTGTTATTCTACCAGTGCTTAATGACTCATAGTTTGTATACTATTTCATTGAAGAAATAAAAAAAATTATTCAGACCTGGAAATGTGTAACAGGAATAGCAAGTTGAGTGGGTCATGAATTTAAGGACTTATGAAGGCAGATTTTGTTTGTTTTCTTGGTAAATCCCTGTCAATAATTTTCCTAAGATAGACTTCTTTGTTGCTGTAGTGGTTCAGGAAAGAAAGAAAACAAGCATTTGTCTCTTTGATGTACTGGGACTCATGCAGTTACAAGTTACAAAAAGAAAAATGACTTCCACACAGAAGTTCATTTATTAGTTTTGATAATGGAGAAGGCTGGATGTTTTCTGTGGTCTTCCATTTAGAACTCTGGAGGCAGTGAAGTTTGTAATAATTCAGATCATAGACTTAGGAACCATTACCAATTTTGTGACCATGAGCCAAAATACTTAATTTTTATGATCCTTACTTGTAAAATAATATAAAAATTACCTACTTCTCAGAGTTTTTGTGAGGACAAAATAAGGTAATGTATTGAAGCAGCTGTCACAGTGTTTAGCGTAGGGAAGTCACACAATAAATCATTTCTAAGTTTTTTAAGAATCAAATTTCCTTTGATCAAAAGGATAAATGTACATAAAATAAAACACCAGATAGTACTTTTGCTAGTTAAGACTTACTCTTATACAGCATATAATGGAAACCCCAAATAACAGTGGCTTCAACATAGAGTTTATCGTATATTAGAGCATTTTAGCTTGGACCAGGTACCCTTTGTAGCACTTTTCATTTATCTATTTTGTCCTCCACAGTCTAAACTCGGTGAGTTAATGCTGCACCTAATGTTACAGGCTTCTTTACAAATGATGACAAGGAAAATCTTAAGTAGGCAACAAATGTGCTTCTAATGGAAACCCAGTGGTCCTCTGCCTGCCCCTCCTGATCCTGCTAGTCCCTCCCCTTTTTTTTTTTTTAATTTCTTGTTTCTTGGAGACAGAGTTTCGCTCTTGTTGCCCAGGCTGAAGTGCAACGACTCATTCTGGGCTCACCGCAACCTCCGCCTCCTAGGTTCAAGCAATTATTCAGTCTCAGCCTCTGAAGCAGCTGGGATTACAGACATGTGCCACCACGTCCAGCTAATTTTTTGTATTTTTAGTAGAGACAGGGTTTCACCATGTTGGCCAGGATGATCTCGATTTCTTGACCTCGTGATCCACCCACCTCAGCCTCCCAAAGTGCTGGGATTACAGGCGTGAGCCACCGTGCCCAGCCTCCTCCCCTTTTTTCAACTCTTTTATCTGTTTCTTGACTTACCTACATGTTCCTCAGTATTCTCTTGCTCTTTCTAGCTTTGGCTGTGATTTATCACTCTGGTAGATGAGGATTACATTCCCTTGCACAGACACCCCATCACTTTTGTACCCTCATTCATCCATTATGGTTAATAGAACAATTTTTGATTAAACTAGTTTCAGTGTTTACATTTTTGTAGGTGTAAGCATTCATTGCTAGTCTGAATGGTAGAATAGGATTGAATTTCCATTCTTAGATCTAGTACAGTTGTTTGCTTTTTCTTAATGACATATTTGCCTCATTTTTTTCATTTGCTTAGTTCTATATGAATCTCCTGTGATTTTTTTTTTTTTTTTTTTTTTTTTTGGAGATGGAGTCTCACTCTTTTGCCAGGCTGGAGTGCGGTGGCACAATCTCGGCTCACTGCAACCTCCATCTCCCGGATTCAAGCGATTCCCCTGCCTCAGCCTTCTGAGTAGCTGGGACTACAGGCACGCACCACCACAACTGGCTAATTTTTTGTATTTTAGTAGAGACGGGGTTTCACCATGGCCAGGATGGTCTCAATCTCCTGACCTTATGATACACCCGCCTTGGCCTCCCAAAGTGCTGGGATTATAGGCGTGAGCCACTGCGCCCAGCCTTCTGTGAATTTTTATCATCTGCTCCAGCAGATGTCAGACACCTGTCAATATTTCTGTTTACAAAGTACATTATGTATTTTATTATAATTATGTATCTCTCAGTATTAAATTCTTTCTTGGAGACATCCTTTTAGATCAGCAGTACAGTTGCCATCCTGGGATGGCCTTTGACTCTCTTTAGTTTTAAATCTACTTCCTTTCTCTTGACTAGTATAGTTCCATATTTTGCTGGCTCATTACTTCAGTGGTTTTCAGAGAATAGCTCTAAAGGAGGCAAAGATTTCAGGTTTTATATTTCCAAAATTATCTTCATTCTGCCGCTACAAAAAGTGAGAGTTTGGTCAAATATAAAATACTGATTTTGCAATAACTTTCAGGCATAGTAGCTCATGCCTGTGATACCAGCACTTTGGGAAACCAAGGCAGGCAAATCACTTGAGGTTGGAAGTTTGAGAACAGCCTGGCCAACATGGTAAAACCCTGTCTCTACTAAAAAATACAAAAATGAGCCGGGTGTGTTAGCAGGCACCTGTAGTCCCAGCTACTCAGGAGGCTGAGGCAGGAGAATTGCTTGAACCCAGGAGGCAGAGGTTGCAGTGAGCTGAGATCAGACCACTGCACTCAGCCTGGGTGAAAGATCAAGACTTTGTCTCAAAAACAATAATAATAAACATTTTATCTCAAATTGTTGAACGCATTGTTCCATTGTTGAGGGCAGGTATTGTTTGCTTAGTTGAAGCAAATGTTGAAGGCATTGTTCCATTGTTTTCTACTTTCCGGTGTTGCTAATAAAAACATCTGATACCTTTCTGATTCCCATTTATTTGTATGTATGTGATATGTGGTGGTTGTTTGTTTCATTTGTTTTCGGTTAGAAAATGTAAAGTCTTGTCTCTATAAAAGGTTTTATGAAGAGTCTTCATGTGCCATGGTATGTGTATTCTGTTTGTGATTTTTCTGTTTACAAGTTTTCGTTCATCATTCCTGGAAACTTCTTGTAATTCCTCCTGTTTTTTCTTTTTTTCCTCTTTCTGGAATTTTCATCATGTAATATTTGACTCCCTAGACTTACAATTTTCTTCTCTTTTCTGTTCTATTTATGTGATATTTTAGGTTATTTTTTTCAGTGTTTTTTCCCCACAGTTTCAGTTAGTTTTTTTATTTTGGCTGTCATTTTAAATTTCTAAAAGCTCTTTTGCTCAAATGGGTTTATAGTTTCTTTTTCTTGTTTCATAGATGCAATATTTTAGCTGAAGATTTAATGATATCTTATAAAATGTTTATCTGCTTCCTTTTGCCTCTGGTTCCTTCTCAATTCTCCCTTTTGTTATTAATACTTCGCTTACTCTCACTTTCATTTTGGAGATGTATAATCTTTGGGTGCATTTATGTTTTAGAGCAAGCAAGGTGCTCAAAGACTAAAGGCTCATATGCATCTTTAGAGATGCACTTTCTGCAAGAAAGCAGAAAGCCTTCTTTTTAGGTTTCAAGTTTTAGGATGTGATGGCAGCTCTTTGATTAGGGGTATTCCAAATGTCAGTGTCTGAGGTTTGTCTCAGAGCCTTGCAGTTCTTTCAGCCTCCTGCTTAGTAATCTCAGCACTTTGGGAATCACATATGGTAGCATTTTAGAAGCTATGTAAACAAGGGAGGCAGGGAACCCTATAGTTTGAGGTGCTCTCCTTCTCTCTTCAACCTTGCTCTTGCAAATACTTATTGAATTCTATCATCCTTTTTTGTCTTCATTTCTTCTTGTCTTTGGGAGATTATCCGGTTTTATGCCTTTACTCTCATCTTAGTGGGATCACTGGAGGAGGAAGAAATAAAGACATGTATGTTTAAGTCACCATGGTAAATTGAAAGGCTTATAATTAGGTTATACCTGTCCCTCCATATTTCTTCTCTTCCCACCCACATCAGTGGAGAGAGAGCTGAGATTTATTCTCTTTTTGTTACAATCCCTGTTATCATGCCTCTTTGACTGCCAAGGTGGCATGATTAAAGAGTTTCTTAAATATAATAGCATTAGGGTATTAGAGTCAATCCTGACTGGGTTTATAAGTAGATTTTACATTGGGTTGATAGGTGGATTTTCCACTGTGTGTATGTATATAGGTAAGGATGTTGGCTTTCTTTGGGGTTTGCTTTCCCCTACCACCACCATAACTTAAAGAAGACTTGAAGATTAAATCCGTTAATCTTTGCATTCACAACTAGAAATTATAGGTTGTTTCTGAAATTAGAAGTCCATTTTCAGGTTAATGGATTTTTGGACAGCAGGCTATAATCATTGGTATTATTACCAGAGTATAATGTGTCAGAGCCAAGCATAGCATTGGATGCTATAGGTTTAATGTAGGCCTTTCTTCTTTATCACCTGGTTTTCCCTAACTCCCCGCCCCCCCCACACACACACACACAAGAACTTTTTCATAGGATTCCAAGTTATGTGTTGGGATTTCTTCTGCATTTTTTTTTTACAGTCCAGTAACAAGTGGTTGACTGATTAAAATGTGTTCTTGGAAGGTGGAAATAGCTCAAGTTTAGAGGACATTGGAAATTATCTTTGACTAAATTTTGTGCATAACCACAAAGATCCATTATATACTTTAATTATTTTGAAATAATTGAAGTCTTGTAAGCAGTTGATATTCAAGAAAAGCCTTATGTCTCCCAACTTTCAGATTCTTTTTTATTATAAAGTACCTTACCAAAGAGTAGGTAAACTGTCAGAATTTCTTTGTGCCTACCAAAATGTAAGAGAATTTATATGAAGCTATCGTATGTAAGATCAAAGTAAAAATGTAAGAAGCTTCCCATATGAAAATCCATACAGTATGTGTATTCTTTTTGAACGTAGGCTTTTACTTCTGATTGATTCTAGCAACTTAAGAATTCTTGCCTCTTATTAATAATCAGTGGCTTTTGCTAAAGGGAAGACATGAGTGTGATTTGTTTTTAGTAGACTTCTTTCTTGAGCAGAAGACACCAAGAGTTCCCATATGCTCCCTCCCCACACACATGCACTGCCTCCCCCGATATCACTGACCCTCACCACAGTAGTACATTTGATACAGTTGGTGAACCTACATAGACACATCGTCACCTCATTCCATAGTTTATATTAAGGTCTACTGTTGGTGTTGTACATGAGTGTATTTTTTTTAATGACATTGGCTTTAATTACAGTACAAAAATTGAGAAAGAGAAAAGAGAGCATGCAAAACAACATGGGATGATCCGCACAGAGATAACAGGAGCAGAGATTGCAGAAGAAATGGAGAAGGAAAGGCGCCTCTTCCAGCTCCAAATGTGTGAAGTAAGAATGGACTTTTCCATCATTTGCTTAGAATTATAATAGCTGTAATTTTTCCTGCTAGTCAGCAGTCTTTATGCTTAAAGGCAGACTGTTTGATTATTAGAGAGGGAACTGTTTCTTAAGGATTCTAATCTCCATTTTTCTCCAAGCTTTTTGGGAACCTGCCATTGCACTGTTATCTCATATTTTGAGCCTTGGCCCTTTGGGGCTCTTTAAGCCAAAACAGGATTCTTTGGTGAGACCCTTAATGTTGCTTGTGAGTGGTTGTGGAAGGAAAACATTGGTGAGAGGTAACACTGGTGAATATTGTTTTATTGGTATATATTTAGAGCATGTTTTTTTTTAAACCATATGTAAGTTTGAATGAAAACTCAAATGAAGGTGTCATTAAGAAAGTTGATTTCACGAAAAAATGCAACAAAAAGCATGCTGCCTTAAACTTAGAGCAATGGCTCTCAAACTGAATTCCAGTTGAACATGAACACTTCTTGACCTATAAACCCACCTGTTCAGACACTGCTGTTGAGTAAGAGATTTTTTTTTTTTAAGACAGAATCTCGCTCTGTCGCCAGGCTGGAGTGCAGTGGCATGATCTCGGCTCACTGCAACCTCTGCCTCTTGAGTTCAAACAGTTCTTGTGCCTCAGCCTCCCTTCACCTTCCCTTCCCTCCCCTCCTCTTCCTTTTACCTCCTCCTTTCCCCTCCCCTCTCTTCCCTTCCCCTCCTCTCCCCTCCTCTTCCCTTCTCCTCCCTCCCTCTCTCCCTCCATCTTCCTTCCTTCCCTCTTTCCTCTCTCTCTTTTTTTTTTCTCTCTTTCTCTCTTCTGTTTCATAACCCTTTGACTACTTGGATTTGTGTGCTCAATGAACCTTTTCACACAGTAAAAGAAGTAAGCAAGCAGCAAACAATGTCAATAGAAAATCTTGACCAGTAGTGTTTAGTTACCTGAGTAAATTCATAATGGTATATTTTTCATTTTTGAGTAGCAAAAATTCTTCCGGATTCACCTCTTTTTCCTAAAGTTTTAATACCTTATGGTATATTCTTTGATGATAATGCTATTCTACTTACTTTCTGCAAAAAACAACCCATTTTTCAGGTTTTTGACCGTATGAACTATATGTTTGAGATCCATTGCACCAAGAGGAAATACTAATTCTAGAATGTCTTGCTGTGTTTCATTTCTGCTTGTCTGGTAAACTAATCATTTACAAAATGCTAACTCTCTAGCCAATTTGTTTTGTACACTTTGTGACTGTGCCAATCAGCATTCTCTAAACTGTCTAAAGGACATCAAGGCTTGGTAACTTGTACAGATTCAGGGTGAAGAGCCCTATTTGGAATTAACCAACATAAAATCCTGTTTTATTTCCACAGTATCTCATTAAAGTTAATGAAATCAAGACCAAAAAGGGTGTGGATCTGCTGCAGAATCTTATAAAGTATTACCATGCACAGTGCAAGTGAGTAGAATATTGTAAGCATTATTATTAGCCCAATTACTGTCCCCTGTACTTTATTATTTGTCTTAATCCTCTTTCTTTTCTTCATCTCATGACTAAATACCGTGATACAATGACTTTTTTCAGCTAAATAGATAAGAAATAGTGTCTTCCATCTTCAGTATCTTATACAAATCAGTAGCTCAAATTAGGGCTTAAAAATGCTGTCTTCCCTTCAAGAAGGCAAATACTTATAAATGTTTCTCCCTAACTTTGACCGCCTGTGGAGCTCTAATTACAGATGCATGACCCCATGCCAGTTCTGATGACCCCCTTCCCTGCCTCTCTTACTTGGCATTTTGCCTATTATTGCATCATTTGCACCATGTATTTCTACCTGGAGTCTTCGGTTTTGTTTTGTTCCATCTAAATTAAATGAATTTAAATAGTTTGGGCATTAAGAATACTTTGCATTTATACATGGATTCCTGTATAATTGGTGTTATATTTTGAGAGATATTCATTGTTCCACTGTGGCACCATGTTGCCTGTATTGCAGGGCTACCTTTTTATTATGTTCATGAGTCTGTGATGCCATATTTGCCTGCTTGCTTCTTTGTTTACTTATTGGGTTAACTTTCATGGGTTTTCTGGTAGAATTTGTGTCTGAAAATGTGCCAGTTACTATTAGTAAAGTCTGTATTAGTTGCTGGAAGTTGTACAGAAAATAATCCAAGGACCTTCCAGAAGTGGTATGGACAGCTTTCATAAGCATAATAATATAAAGGTTAATATTATAATAATATAAAGGTTAATAGATTAAATATTCTTCAAAAAGTTAAATTCACAATTTCCTTTGATCTTTCTTATTCTTTTCAATAATGTTATATTTAGAGAGATACCTGTATTCAACTAAAACATTTAAGGAGGTCAGCATTAATATTATAGGAAAAGCACAAAGCTTGAGTTATTCAAATTAGATGAGTCCACATTTTGGCTTTGCAGCTAGGTAACTGTATTCTTAATCAGGTACTTCTCGAAATCTCGTATACTTATCTGTCAAGTTGGGTTATAGTTCTGTAGCACCCTAAGGTTTTTGTAAGGCTGTAAAAAGTAAAAATGAGAATGTATATAGAGTGCTTAGCCTAGTGCCTGCAACCTTGTATGTGTTGACAGCTGTGATGATTCTAAATGGCATTTTAAATTATGTATTTATATATTTTATTGTCTAGAATATTTCTCTTCAAGAAAACCATTTTGGTGATCAAATGGTTGTTTACACAAATTTGATGGCATTAACTTTTTTTCTCTTTTCAAAGTAAATTGTACCTTACATAAACGTCTTTCAAAAATAAAAATAATATATTGAAGTAGAAACAGTTTTCACCTTCTTAAGATTAAGTTTGTTTGCTCAAGACCTGACTAACTAACTTACTTTTGGCTTCAATGTGGTTTGGCAGTTATGAAACTTTGGCATGTGTTTTGGTGGTCCGTTTAGTATTGGGTGGAATTTCTCATCTTTCATCAAATTTGATTTTCCTGGAAACATTGAATTCCTCTGAAAGTTTTAAAGAAATAAGGGAATCTCTCAGACTCCTAAATTGGACAAGACTTTGGCAACAAAACTGATTTTACCTGACTTTAGAAATCTATTTTCTTCTTAAATTCTCTAAGTTTATAAACAAGAGCTTGGCCTACACAAACAAGTTTTTCAAAATAGAAGATGCTTTATAAACTATACATGTATTAGCCTTCGCTAGTAAAGGTGATTCAAACTTCTGTAGCTAATGCATCCTCCCTTTATTCTTTGCTTTTTCTCTTTCCACAAATATTTTTTATTCTTTTACCAAAGGTCAGAGACTGTGCCCAGTTCTGGGATAGAGACAAATCAAGACTTCTTCCCTCAGGAGCTAATTGTTAGGTACAAGAAATAAGTCAGATCCATTATTAATCATAATGGGGCTAGTACCATGGAGCATCAAGAGGAAGAGGGACAGCTGGGTGTGTTGGCTCACAACTGTAATTCCAGCACTTTGGGAGGCAGAGGCAGGTGGATCACTAGAGGTCAGGAATTCGAGACCAGCCTGACCAACATGGCAAAATCCTGTCTCTACTAAAAATACAAAATTAGCCGGATGTGGTGGCACACACCTATAATTCCAGCTACTTGGGAGGCTGAGGCAGGAGAATCACTTGAATCTGGGAGATGGAGATTGCAGTGAGCCAAGATAGTACCATTGCACTCTAGCCTGGGCAATGAGAGCAAAACTCTGTCTAAAAAAAAAAAAAAAAAAAAAAGGAAGAGAGGCTCCTGATACCATGATACCAGGAGGACTGAGGAGAAGGTGCTAGCACCTTGAGGGAGGTGGTAAGACTTGTCATTGAACTTGGAGGATGGCTAGAATTTGGTTGCCAGATTGCAATCTGGTAGAAGAATGTCCCCTAGGTCACAGAGAGATCATCAGAAGAAAACCATACACAGTAAAAACCTTGTGGGGAGAGAGGTGTTCTAAGTCATCAAGTAGTAAAACTATGTTATAAGGGGATTCAACTAAAAGTGGCTCCATGGTTGAACCCCAAGGACTCTGTCACAGTAAGAAGCCAGGGTAGTTTTCTTTATTCTTTTCTACTTCAGTCAGTTCCTTAAAACTCTGAATAAGTATATTGTGTGGACCTGTTAGGCATTCTCTACTTAGGTGTTTTTTTTTTGTTTTGTTTTTAAGATTTCTTCTCAGTACTTACTTCAGTTCCCAAAGTGATTTTCAGCACAAAGTCAGCTGGTACTCAACAATGAATTTGCCCTGATAATAAGTCATGGCACTTCGGTGTGGATGAAGCTACTACAATGGAAAAATAAGGAAGCAGAAAAGAAGGGCTTTTAACTGTTTCTAACCTATTTCAGCTCATTCACACTAATTACTGCTCGTTTTCAGACATAAACATTCTCAGTTACATGCTGCTTTCAAAAGAGACATAGCCTCCTGTCCACCTGCTTCTTTTACCAACTCGTAAGTGTCATTATGACCTGCGGAGTCAAGAGCATTTACATTGTTTTATTATCTGTCATTTTATAGGTATTAATAGTAATAGCTAACATTTACTGAGAGCTTATTTTCTAGGCCGACTTATGTACACTCTACCTCTAAGTTCTTTGCATTTGTTTTCTCATGTAATATTCCCAACACGCAGGAAATGGTAGCTCAAAAGGATCAGTATTTTGCTCAAAGTCATGTTCATTGATTTAATAAATGCTTAGTAAACATGTCAAAGCAGACAACGTAGGCACAGGAACCCAAAGAAAATATAAATTGGGCTTCAAAATTAAAAACTTTTGTTCATGGAAGTATATTATCAAGAAAGTAAAAGATAACCCACAGAATAGGAGAAAATATTTACACAACATTTTTCTGATAAGAGTCTGATATCCGTAATATATAAAGAACTCAGCAACAGTCCAGGTGTGCTGGCTCACCCCTGTAAATCTAGCAATTTAGGAAATGGAGGTAGGAGGATCACTTGAGCCCAGGAGTTCGAGACCAGCCTGGGCAACACAGGGAGACTCTGTCTCTACAAAAAAAAAATTTTTAATTACCCAAGTGTGGTGGCACACGCCTGTATTCCCAACTACCTGGGAGGCCGAGGTGAGAGGATCGCCCGAGCCCAGGAGATCAAGGCTGCAGTGAGCCATAATGACACCACTGTACTCTAGCCTGGGCAACAGTACAAGACTCTTTATATTAAAAAAATTATACACACACACACACAGAGAAAAACACATGAAAAGGTGCTCAACATCACTAGTCATTGGTAAGCACAAATGAAAACCTCAGTGAAATAGTACTTCATATCCACAGGAATTGTTGTAATTAAAAAAAAAAAAATGTCTTGGTGAGGATGTGGAAAGATTGCAACCTATGCATTGGCAGTAGGAATGTAAATGATGCAACTTCTTTGGAAAACAGTTTGGGAACTTCTCAGAAAGTTAAAGATAAAATTAGCATATGATCCAGCAGTTCCACTCCTAGTTGTATACCAAAAAGAACAGAAAGCAGGTATTTAAACAAACACTGGTACGTGAATATTTATAGCAGCGTTATTTACAGCAGCCAAAACACGGAAACACCCAAATATTCATCAGCTGATAAAAGATTAAACAAAATGTGGTATATCAAAATGGAGCATAGTTCAGCCACAATGCTGAATGTGAATGAAATATTGATACATGTTACAATATGGGTGAGCATAGTGAAAGAAGCCAGACACAAAGATTGCATGTGTTCACTAACCCAGCAGCTCTCTAAATGCCTTAATTTAGAGGATTTTATAGAGGTCTTATTACATAAGCATGATTGATTACATCATTGGCTATTGGTGATTGGCCAAATCTCCAGCCTCTCTGCTCTTCCCAGAGGTGGGAGAAGAGGTAGGTAGTTCTGCACCTAGTTGCCTGGTTGATTCTGTAATGAGACTAAAAAGAGATTCCATTAATTGTATATACGTAATAGGGAGGTAACTGGTAAAGACTAAATACTCAGTAACATGTTAGCTGCCATTACTGTTACTTATCTTCTGAAGATCTCGTTATGTTACAGTAATTTATAGAGAAAATGGCTAAAAGATAAATGAGATGTCCTGGAGGTAATTTTCCCTTCTGTTTGGAAGATTTGTGTGTTATATGTAGTGATAGGTAGTCAGAACTCACACACATGTTTCACTTTCCAGTTAACAACACTTTTGTCTGTAGTAGCTCATCTGACGCTCCTTGAAACTAGAAAATGTTTACATTTGAAGATGAGCATGCTGTTATTCAGACAGGGTAAATAACCTTCCCAGGGTTACCACATATAGTAAGGTTTAGAGCCACAATATAAAATACAATATAGTTTGACTCCTAAGCCCTTGCTTTTTTTTTTTTTGGAGTCAGAATCTCACTCTGTCACCCAATTCTGGAGTGCAGTGGTACAATCACAGTTCATTGCAGCCTCAACGTCCTGGGTGCAAGCAATCCTCCCACCTTAGCCCCCCAAGTAGTTGGGACTACAGGCATATATCATAACACCTGGCTAATTTTTGTGGTTTTTGTAGAGACGGGGCTTCAACCATGTTGCCCAAGCTGGTCTCAAGCTCCTAGCTCAAGCAATCCTCCTGCCTCGGCCTCCCAAAGTGCTAGGATTACAGGTGTGAGCCATATGTGCAGTATCCCTTGCACATCCACTGAACTAGGACCAGCTAAAACAGAAGAGAGAAAGGAGGAACAGAGAAGCCATTACCCTCTGTGAAATGTTGTGGCAGGTGTCCACCTGTGATGGCTGTCTGTCTACCTTGTCCACAACTGGAACTATGACCCTCAAGGAGGAGAGAATGAAGCACAGAGGGACAGTGCAGATGACAGCATGTCACCCTTTGCTTTGTGTCACTAATACATTGCTAATGACAGCCATGGTTATTTTGTTCTTCTCCTGTAACTCGCCCTCCTTTCCTGCTCTGTTTCTTATCAAACTGGAACTTGGCCCCATAATGACTTTGTGCAAGGGGTTCACCTCCTAATTGTTCATCCCAGACAAAATGTTGATTCTTTAATTTTGTTTTAAAGAGTAATACATTATATTCTTGAGAAACAAAATTAGAAACTCAAGGAAAAATAACAAAAACCTGTATTCTCCTCACTTAGGTGATTACTAGATTCACGTATCTGGCTTTTGTTGTTTACAAAAATGGGATCATGCTACAGATTAAAGCAATCATTACATTGATTTTCTTAGTCTCTGGCTATGTAATAGTCTGAATAATTGAAGCTGAAGGAAAGTAAATTTGTTTGGAGTCTTTCTTCAGTCTTGTATTTAACAGGAATTTTCACTTTTATCAATGATATTTCAAACTAAAACAGTTCCCTCTTTCTCCCTAAAATTTATAATGTGTTCTTCAGTATTTCTTTTGTGCTGTTCAAATATTTGCTTATTCTTTTTTTTTTTTTTGGAGACAGAGTCTTGCTTTCATCTCGAGGCACCAGGCTGGAGTGCAGTGGCGCGATCTCGGCTCACTGTAGCCTCTGCCTCCTGGGTTCAAGCAGTTCTCCTGCCTCAGCCTCCTGAGTAGCTGGGACTACAGGCGTGCACCACCGCGCCCAGCTAATTTTTTTGTATTTTTAGTAGAGACGGAGTTTCACCATATTGGCCAGGATGGTCTCGATCTCTTGATCTCATGTTCCGCCCACCTCGGCCTCCCAAAGTGCTGGGATTAGAGGCATGAATCAGAGCTCCCGGCCTGCTTATTCTTTGTGGTGTTGTCCAGTAGAACTTTCTGCTGTGGTGGAAATGTTCATATTATTTACCATCTGCATGGTACCCACTGGCCACACGTGGCTATTGAGCACTTGAAATATGGCTTATGAGACTTCAGGAGCAGAATTTTTTATTTAATTTTTAATAGCTTCATGTGACTAGTGGCTACCATATTGGAAAACACAGATCTAGAGCATTCTCATTGAAACTCACCTTTTAAAAAAAATTGGAGAGAGATTTAATTCGTGTTCTATTCTTTTCTTAAAATTTTTATTTCAATGGTTTCTGGGATACAAGTGGTTTTTGGTTGCATGGATAAGTTCTTCAGTGGTGATTTCTGAGATCTTGGTGCACCTGTCTCCCAAGCAAAACTCACATATTTTTAAGCGTAATGATTAAATTCCCTTTATGTTGTAAGTGAAAATGAAATACCTTTTCAAAAATATCTGCAAGGAATCTGTATCCCTCTGCAAAGGAAATAACTCCTTATCTGATAAAGTTATGCAGCTCCAGGGAAGGGAATCATTTTCCGAGCACATGCTAACTGCCCCACACTTTGCTGGCTGATTTCATATGTCCTATCTGTATTGTTTGCCCATTTACATGTATTTTTTGCCCATTTACACTTGAGCAAACTGAGGCCAAGATAAGTTAAATGACTTGCCAGAACACAGATTCCTAGTCATTATCATCTGACCCCAAAGCGATTGCTTTTTCGGTCGTAAGAAGCCCTGACAACATCGATCTTAAATTTAAGTGCTCTACCTTCAAAACTTTGCTCCAGAAATTACTTAAGTGCAGTACCAGAGACCAAAACTGATTTTGCTGTGATTACCTTTGTACACATACAAAGCTATTGCTCAGTGAAGCCAATGCTTTGACTATCAGGTCTAGAGAATACTGCTTATGGGGAAGCAACTGAGCTGAGTCTTGATAAAAGAGAATTTGGCAGGCAGGTTGATATGGTTTGGCTCTGTGTCCCCACCCAAATCTCATCTTGAATTGTAATCTCCATAATCTCCATGGGTCAATGGGGGGACAGGCTGGAGGTAACTGAGTCATGGGGGCAGTTTCCCCCATGCTGTTCTCTTGATAATGAATGAGTCTCACAAGATCTGATGGTTATATAAGTGTCTGGCATTTCCCCTGCTGGCACTCATTCTTTCTCCTGCCACCCTGTGAAAAGGTGCCTTCTGCCATGATTGTAAGTTTCTTGAGACCTCCCGAGCCATGTGGAACTGTAAGTCAATTAAACATCTTTTCTTTGTAAGTTACCCAGTCTCAGGTGTTTCTTCATAGCAGCGTGAGAACGGACTACTACACAGGTATAGAGGTGGAAGGGCATTCCAGGCAGAGGGAATAGCATATGCAGAGGCTGAGGTGGGGGAAGATGGGTTGAAAAGGAACAAGCAACTAGAAATAATGTAGCATGTCTAGACCTTGGAGTTTTTAAGGGAAAATGGTAAGAGATAAAACTTAGAAGCTATTCAAGGGTCAGAACGTAAACTTTTAAGATTCTGTACTGAGAAGTTTAACTTGCATTGCTGTAGGCAGTGCTGAAAAACCAAATGCTAGAAAATGAGAGTTTAGGCCAGATATGGTGGCTCACACCTGTAATCTCAGCACTCTGGGAGGCCAAGGCGGGCAGATTACTTCAGTCCAGGAGTTCACAGCCTGGGCAACATGGCAAAACCTCATCTTTACAAAAAAATATAAAAAATTTAGCCAGGCATGGTGGGGTGCACCTGTAGTCCCAGCTACTCAGAAGGCTGAGGTGGAAGGATCACTTGACCCCAGAAAGTCGAGGCTGCAGTGAGCCACTGCATTTCAGTTAGCCACTGAATTTCAGTGTGGGTGACAGAGTGAGACCCTGTCCAAGAGAGAGAGAAAGAGAGAGAGGGATTGATTTACTGTATTCATTTGTTTTTCAGTTAAATGGCTAACCAAAAGGCCCTTTTTCCTCTCATCCCTGTTGTTGAAAAACTTTATTAAGCTTAAAATATGTCTATTAAGGTATGCCTTATGCTGGGCATGGTGGCTCACCTGTAATCCCAGCATTTTGGGAGGCCACAGTGGGTGGATCACTTGAGGTCAGGAGTTCGAAACCAGCCTGATCAACTTGGTGAACCAGCTCCCCCTGTACCCCCCCTCGTCTCTGCTGGAAACATGAAAATTAGCCTGGTGTGGTAGCTAGTCCCAGCTGCCTGGGAGGCAGAGATTTCAATGAGCCAAGATTGTGACACTACACTCCAGCCTAGGTGACAGACTAAGACTCCATCTAAAAACAACAAAAAAAAAAAGATACAGCTTAAAATGTCTTGATATTGCTTCCTTTAGTCTCCTTTGTGTTGGGCCCACTGTGATAAGGAGTTGAGACAGTCCTCATGCTCTAGGTCCTCATTGTGGGGAGACAGCAAAACAGATAGTATCTTGAGAAGTAATCTGCTTTGGGGGCATGGTTAGAGAAGCTTCCAATAGGGCAGAGAAAATTCTAAACACCAGTTTCCTGAGGCATATTGTGTATTTCTCTAAACTGATATCAGAGACTAGATTCCTGAGTGGAAGTGTGCCACATGAGACAAGAAATCCCTTCACTTCTGGTAAAGAGTATGGATCAGATTCTGGCAGAACTGATCTGAATTCCACCAGCTCAGCTGCTTACTAGTTGCAGCTTGACCAAGTTTTATACTTACTTTGTACTTCAGTTTTACAAATGGAGATGAGATTGAAGTGCTTTAATTTATTAGGGTTGCATACAGGAAATCACTGTGTAAAGTGTTTAGAGTATTGCTGGGCATGCGATAAATGCTCCACAGATATTAATTCTTGTTATTTCTCAGGTGAAATAATGCAACCATATGTTGTAGGATAAAGCTTTCCAAACCCATTGGTATTACTGCTTTGAAATCTTGTGTTTCAGATATATGTTGGAACACAGGGATCTTTGAGGAACTGAATGAACTTTGAGTCTTCTTTTGCCTTTATCTATAGTTCCATCATATTTCTTATAGTGTCTAGATTGACCTCATGATATTCCACTGGTTAATGCATCTTTCTCTCTCTTTCGAATTCAAATATGATAAAACTGGGAAGAACCGTTCTATGTATAATGGACATGCACATTATGAAATCACTGTTTTGGGACTGCAACTGTAATTTCCAGTCTCCTTGAGGTATCTTCTATCAAATGTCAACTGGTAGCCATAATTTGTTCATTAGTAAATCTTTATAAAATACCATAATTAATTTTATAACTGTCTAGTATAGATAATGCATGGAAAATGAGTATATATGTCTATACAAGACAGTTTTATACACACACACACACACACACACACACACACACACAGATCTGTGTATTTTCCGATTTTGCAGGTTATTCTAGTTCTTTTTTTGTTCCCACGTAAGTAAAAAAAAATTCTTTCTTTTTTATACTGGTGATAAATCTATTTTTTTTTATTGTAGTTTCTTTCAAGATGGCTTGAAAACAGCTGATAAGTTGAAACAATACATTGAAAAACTGGCTGCTGATTTATATAATGTAAGTGCTTTGTAAAATACGTGCAACTTAACTTGCTTTCATGGATAAATATCACTGAATTTGAAATCTGTATTAGATGTTAAAAGCAGAAAAGATTAAATGATATGTCTGTACAAACCTAGGGCAGATAACCCTTCGGTTTAAGTCAGAGGAGTCATCAATGGTGAAGTACTCGAGTGCCTTACTGGGGCTGTGAGAGGAGCAGGGAGGAGAGTAGCCATCAGTTCCAGATGGCTCTGCACTTAACGATTCAGTTAGCATCACATTTGGTGTTCCCTGGTCAGCAATTGCAGAAATAACGTATGATTGTGGAAAGTTAAAAATTAAGTGACTCTCTGAATAGGTAGGTTTATAGGGTTTTTGTTTGTTTGAGTTTTTTTTTTTTTTTCCCTGATCGAGTCTCACTTTGTCACCCAGAGTAGACTGCAGTGGTGCCATCTCGGCTCACTGCAATCTCTGCCTTCTGGGCTCAAGGGATTCTCATGCTATAGCCTCCCAAGTAGCTGGAACTACAAGTACCCACCACCACTCCCAGTTAATTTTTTGCATTTTTAGTAGAGACAGGGTTTCACTGTGTTGCCCAGACTGGTCTTGAACTCCTGAGCTCAAGAGATCCACCTGCCTTGACCTCCCAAAGTGCTGGGATTACAAGCATGAGCCACTGTGCATTTCATTTATGGGGTTTTTTTTTTGTATGTTTTATATTATCTCTCTTTTTTTAGTGTCTAGGTCTAAATGCATATTTTAGAAATGGTAAAGTTGTTGCCCGAAAATCATTTGGTGGTAAATAAAAGCATGGATATTTATGAGTATGAGTAAATTTCACTAAATAAAGTTTGAGAATTACAAGTAATGCCTTATATTCTTATATAACTCTAAAATACATAGCTGTGTTTTTTTTCTGATTTTTTTTTTAGTAGTTAACATGGTTCAGGTTACAGTTAAGTCCCAAATGGTTTAAAAAAAAAAAAAAAAAAAAAACAAGCAGCACCAATCCCTTGACCCCATTTCATGCTATGTAAACTTTCATGTATGCATTGGTCATCCTTAGGATTCTTTTCTGGACTGTTGAATCACATCATGGTATTTCCATTACCACCCTTTGAAAAACCAGAAGCAAATCATCTAAATGATATTCCTTAAGTTATTTAGTATTTCAGAGTTAATTGTCTAGCTTAGATATGTTATTTAATAAGAATACATGTTGCATTATTCACTAATTTCAAAGCCCACTGGTACTTTTATAAGATGAGAAATCTGATATCAAAAATAAGATAGTGTAAAGGACTTTTGTAAGAAAACCAACTATATAATAGAGTTGTGTGATGAGTGGTATTTTTGAATAAATTAAAGTATAAATGGTAAGTAATAGAAGTAATTTTTTTCATAGATAAAGCAGACCCAGGATGAAGAAAAGAAACAGCTAACTGCTCTCCGAGACTTAATAAAATCTTCTCTTCAACTTGATCAGAAAGAAGTAAGTGGTTTACATGTTTACAAAAGGGCTAACAATGTAAGTAAGGCTGCTTTTGTGATACCTGTGTTTCCTGATCTGCAAGACAGGCACAGTGATATCTTACATAATATACAAGTATGTACTTATCATAAGCCCCATGTAGAAATTGTATTTTAGTTCCTTTTCCTTCCTTACAGGAAAGATGTCCTGGGTATCTAATTCCATGACTGAATTTTTTTTTTCTTTTTTCTTTATTTTTTTGAGGCACGGTCTCACTCTGTCACCCAGGCTAGGGTGCAGTAGTGCAATTATGGCTCATTGTAGCCTCGACCTAAAGCAGTTCTTCCACCTCAGCCTCCCAGGTAGCTGGGACTACAGGCACATCCCACGACGCCTGGATAATTTTTGTATTTTTTGTAGAAATGGAGTTTCACCATGTTGCCCTGGCTGGTCTTGAGCTCCTGGACTCAAGCAATCTTCCCACCTCGGCCTCCCAAAGTTCTGGGATTACAGACGTGAGCCACTGCACCTAGCCTCATGACTATAGATTTTCTATCCTAGTTTTGAAGACATGCTTTTCAGAAGTGTATGCTGAAACATAGTCAGTACACTCTACAACTGTCCTCTTTAGACCACCTGTCTTTCTGGGCAGCCAAAGGGGGCATGTCTCATTTGCCAGGGAAATACTTTGATGCAGAATCCTATAGAAGCTTTCCCCTGCAATTAGGGAGGTGACATGGTCCTTGGATATTGAAACAGTATAGAATGCATGGAAGAGGCTGGATGAATGAAGTACATATCCTTAATTATAAATGTTATTTGTTCAAACATTTCATTAACACCTACTGTGTGCCAGGCATAGTTCTAGGTATTAAGCTTTAGTCCCTTCCATCCAGGAGTTAATTATCTAGTCATCCTTGTGAACATGAAATTATTATGTTTTAAATTTAAGAGCAGTGGCTCACCCCTGTAATTCAAATATTTTGGGAGGCCAAGGTGGGAGGATCACTTGAACCCAGGAGTTTGAGATTACCCGAGGCAACAAAATGAGACCCTGTCTCTACAAAAAAACTTAGCCATGCATGATGGCATGTGCCTGTAGTCCCAGCCACCAGGGAAGCTGAGGTGGAAGAATCCCTTGAGCCCAGGAAGTGGAGGCTGCAGTAGGCCATGTTTCTGTCACTGTGCTCCAACCTGGGCAGTGGAGCAAGACCCTGCCTCAACTAACCAAACAAACGAACAAAAATCATTAAGAGCAGTGTTTAATAATAATAACATGAAATATAGCATTTTTTTTTTTTTTTTTTGGAGACAGAGTCTTGCTCTGTTTCTCAGGCTAGAATGTAAGTGGTGCAGTCTGTGCTCACTGCAACATCTGCCACCTGGGTTCAAGTGATTCTCCTGACACAGCCTTCTGAGTAGCTGGGACTACAGGCATGCACCACCATGCCCAGCTAATTTTTGTATTTTTAGTAGAGATGAGGTTTCACCATGTTGGCCAGGATGGTCTCAATCTCTTGACCTTGTGATCCACCTGCCTCCGCCTCCCAAAGTGCTGGGATTACAAGCGTGAGCCACTGCACCCGGCTGAAATACAGCATTTTTTATAGTCAGTTTTTAAAGACTATCACCCAACAATAGCAAACTCACTTATTTTAAATTCCAAAATTTCTGAAAGGGGTTTATGAGTCTAAAACAAAGCAACTCCCCTAAAACATAGCAAGCCCTTCACTAGTGACAGTAATCTTTTACAGCAACCTGAAGGTTTTTTCTTTATTGAGTCAATATAAGCCTCTACTTTTCTGGTTCTCCAAATCTAGTTTCTGTATATGCATTGGGGATTGGTCAAGTGAGAGAAGCAGTGTTAACACTAGGCATCTGCTATCCAGTGGAGTAGGCAGAGTGGCCAGGAACATCTGTGTGCACTAAGGCAGTTTCTGCATCCATGTCATTCAGAGTCTCAGGCAGTGACTGCACCTGTGGCTTGAGGCCTCTGACTGTGATTTATAAGAACTTCTGAGTATTAGACCCCCAGTGGACTTCAGACTGAAACACAGATATGCCACGCCCTTTGAAGGTGCTCATATATAAATCCTAGGAGAAATGTGGTCCCTCTGAATAATTTCTCAGTGTAAGAGCATTAAAAAGACCCAAGTAGAAGGGAAGAGCAGGTAGTAGATTTCAGTCTTGGGATAAAATTATGAGGTTTTTTTGGGTTTTGGTTTTGGGGTTTTTTACTTACTGGTATGTACTTAACCACTTGTACTTACCTTTGTTTTGTCACACAGTATTACCTCTTTCCTACATATGGAAGCTTTCTTGAAAAATAAAAGGGAGGACTATTATAGCCCCTTTTTGTTTTGCATGGAGACTTAACGTATCCTGCTCATGCTAGCTAAAGAACAAAGTTGCATATAAGCCAAAGGAGTGTGTACATGATGAAATGCACATGATTTAACTCCACCCTAGATTAATAAATGAGTTTTCATTAGTACCTTGTTTCACAAGTAATAAATTGATCTTTCACAACATACCTATTCCTTTCTCATGCTGTTTATCATCACTTGTTGCAGAATATGTTTAGAAGGTAATGATTTTTCATGACTTAAATTAAATGTGAGAGGAGGCTATCCACAGAGAGTTCTAACCATGGTACTACTATTTGAAAAGAGTGTCAAGTAATCTTAAAGATTAACTGAGGAATCAAAAACACCCAACATATCATTTCACCTACTGACCCCCACCAGGTTCTAACTCGGCTCCATTAAAGGAAGTTCCAAGAATTTTAGTTGTAAATAGATCCCTGGAATTTTGGTAAACTCTTTTTTTTTTTTTTTTTTTTTTTTCTCCTATCCTTAAGTTTTATTGTCTTAGCAAAGAACTGTTCTATGAAATTCTATTAAGCTTTTGGTAATATGCTAACCTACAAAAGAACTATTTGCTACATAACTATTTTTAGATTTGAAAGTGGGTTTTTGTTTAGTTGGTTGGTTGGGGTTTTCTTTTTTTGAGACAGAGTCTCACTTTGTTGCCCAGACTCTAGTGCAGTGGTGCAAATCTCGCTTACTGCAGCCTCCGCCTCCCAAGTTCAAGTGATTCTCGTGCCTCAGCCTCCCGAGTAGCTGGGACTACAAGCATGCATCACTATGCCTGGCTAATGTTTTGTATTTTTGGCAGAGATGGAGTTTTACCGTGTTAAACCAGGCTGGTCTTGAACTACTGACCTCAAGTGATCTCCCCACCTCAGCCTACCAAAGTGCTGAGATTACAGGCATGAGCTACCATGCCTGGCCTGAAAGAATTTTAAATGGTGTTAAGACATAGTTAGGATATACCAAATTATTCCAAAAATTCCACCTTTTTTGTTTGGGTTCACTGATGGACCCTCTTAAAATCATATGACATTATGGTTGGCATATTTGACAGATTCTGTTTCTGAATTACTCATGTCACAGTATCTGTCATGTAGCCTGGTACCAGAAAACTATTCAAATATTTAGAAAAATGAAACAGATATAGGTGATGGGGAGGAAGGCAGCACATCACACTGCCATGTGTGTACCTATGCAACGCTCTTGCATGTTCATCACATGTACCCCAAAACCTAAAATGCAATTTTAAGAAATTGAAAAAAAAAAATAAAATAAAGAAAAATGAAACAGAAGTAATCTTTTGCCCACTCCATTCATACCTTACATAAGAAATTTTAGGCTTCTCTAGTAGAGGTTTAGTTTTAAATTGGATACCACAAACATTTATAACCTCATTAAATCAATGAGTGTGTAATTGCTTGCACTTTTAAAAGATTTGAGACTCTGCCTCTTAATAATACATTTTATACATTAATAAGGTTTTCAAATAAGAAAGTAATTAGTCTATACTGCTAATAGAGAATAGGAAATTAAAAAGATTTTAAGTTCATTGTTTATGTTTTATATTTTTGCCCAAATGAGTTTTTCTGTTTCTGGAATCCATAGTTAATTTCTGGTATGCTATCAAAGGATTCAGAACCTATTTCATTCCTTCAGTTTGTGTCAGTTTTTAAATTGTTATTAATGTTAATAAGTCTCCAATATCTACTTTCTCAAAAAAGAAAACCTTTTTTTATTTATCTAGAGTGCCCTGCTTAGCAAGCTGAATGGCCATCATTTCTCACAGTGCACAAGGAATAATTGGTGTGACTTTATTAAGCCATTAAACTCATCAAAAGTTAACTTAGGATTGTTGATACTAAACTTCTGAAACATACTGCCTCCTTTCTGCTCAGTTTAATGAGATCAAAGCCTGGAGTTTAGCCACTGTATTCACCTTTAAAAGCATATTAGTTTGATGTAAAGCAAGACACAGTCAATCTAAGAGTTTGTTATTTAAAATGTAAGGTTTACTTAAGGTAGTAATAAATATATAAGAAATGCCTTAATGGTAAATTTTAAAAATATAATTGTTTTTATAAGTTGTTAGCATCTGAATCCTTGTTCAAAAAAGATGTGTTTTTATTTTTTTAACTTAGAATTTTATTTTAAAGGTTAGCAAAGGTTAAGATTAGACATACATAGTTGGTTGTTTTTGATAAGAGTACCTAATAGTGAGAGACATTCATTTGTGTTTTTTTGTTTCCTGCTGCATGTGGGAGCCATTCTCTGAGGCAGGAAAGGCGTGAAAGGCTTGAGAGAGATCTGTCACAGGCCTTTGCCAGCTCCAATATAATACATGTGGCAGTGGTAGGCCCATTTGAAAACTTAACAAATGTACCAAAAAGAAAACAACCACAAGAGTTATATAGTTTAAAAGCATTCAGACAGACCTAGGAATTACATGGGCAGATGAAGAGAAGTCTAGTTCAGTAACAAGGGTTCTGAGGAAGAAGGCTGTGAGTGAGTGCCAATATACAGGGAGATTTTAGATTTTGTTTTTAATGTTTCTGGAATATACAGACAGGGCAGAGATCCCTGACTCCAAATTCATAATTGAGTAATTTTCATGCGATTTGGTTGGATTAAAGCAGAAAGCCCTGTAGATTCCATTAATCCCTGCCTCTTGTTTTGTCCCATGCCTCAGTTCCCTGCATCCTGATCTATCTTTCTTTACTAGGATTATGAACACACTGCTTCCTCTCTAAAAAAAAGAAAAATGCCTGTTACTACTATTGTTACTAGGGACTGTTTCTGGAGGTATTGGTAGGGGAATGTTGCTCTTCTTGCTTGCCTGATATTTAGTACGGTCCCTCAGTCCTACCTCCATTTAGAAAGTGTGAAAATCTCTATTAAGAAGGACTTGGTGAGCCACATTACTATGGAATTCAAGGCTATAGGCCCTGATTAAAAGTGAACATTTAGATCGGGCATGGTGGCTCACACCTGTAAACTCAACACTTTGGAAGGCCACAGCAGGAGAATTGCTTGCGTACAGGAGTTCAAAACCAGCCTGGGCAACACAGTAAAATCCCATCCCTACAAAAAAGCAAAAATTACCCCGACATGGTAGCACACACCTGTAGTCCCAGCTACTCGGAAGGCTGAGGCGGAACAGTCATTTCAGCTTGAGAGGTTGAGGCTGCAGAGAGTTGTGATCACACTATTGCATTCAGCCTAGGAAACAGAGCAATACCCAGCCTCCAAAACACACACATGCACACGCATGCACTCACACACACACACACATACACACACACATTTTTAAAAAGGAAACACTAAGGGAGAATTTTGCAAGAAAATCCTAGATTCAAGTCAGTGCCCCACCTCTCCCAAATGATTAATATTGTCCAATTAAATGTTTCATATGGAGAGAATCTGGCCAGTTATAAACAGATATTATTCAAAAAGAAAATGACTCAAGTTTGTAAGCTTTTTAATGTGAGTCAGCTTGCCTTGTTAAGTGTACAGTAAGCTCCCAGTTACCTACACAAGAGAGCAGGACAGTGATATGGTGACAGTGTGAGCACCTGCCTCAAAGCCAGGGCTTATATTGTATACTCAAGGTCCTTAATACCTGGCTTTTCAGAGGTATTCAGTAACAAGCTATAGAAATGATCCCTGAGGCTGGGCGCGGTGGCTCACGCCTATAATCCCAGCACTTTGGGAGGCCAAGGTGGGTGGATCACGAGGTCAAGAGATCGAGACCATCCTGGTCAACAAGGTGAAACCCTGTCTCTACTAAAAATACAAAAATTAGCTGGGCATGGTGGTGCGCGCCTGTAGTCCCAGCTACTTGGGAAGCTGAGGCAGGAGAATTGCTTGAACCCAGGAGGCAGAGGTTGCGGTGAGCCGAGATCGTGCCATTGCACTCCAGTCTGAGTAACAACAGCAAAACTCTGTCTCAAAAAAAAAAAAAAAAAAAAAAATGATCCCTGAAAGTATAGTCTTTCAGAGGTATTCAGGACACGATTTTGAACACAAAATCTGTCACGTGTAGAACAGCCTTAAAAAGATACATTGTCCTAGAGATTTTCCTTTGACTATTACTTATATTAATTTGCGTCACCGAACATACATTACTTGGGCCAAAAAGATACCGAATGTCAGAAAGAAGCCATCCTGGCCTTAAAGGTATTTTGTATACAAGTCAGTGAATAGTCAATGGATGGTTTAGCTTACCTTGACGCCGTCACATTTCAGGTGTTGTTTATGAACTGGATATATTTGAGTTCTTTTCCCTTGGGAAAAAACATAGTCCTGCCGCAATTTGTGGCTGTTATTAGATTTCTGAATAATTGATTTTGGGTTTCACTGAGGTATTGATTCCCTATACTTAAATATTTGAGATTTGTCAACCATTTTTACTTTGGTAAAATATGTGTGTACCTCATGTTCTTCTATTTAGCCATGTTTCTGTTCTCATGCAATATGACCTGAAATAAAACCGGATAAATATAGACATTTTATTGTCCTATCACCCAAAGTTTATCATGAATCTAAGTATATGTTGTCTAGTATTATCTTTAGAATGATGTTTTCTGTGTACATTATATAAAATGCTTAAATTATGGGTGATATGATTTTCAATGAAATTAACTGTATTTTCAAATGTTCTACCTTTTTTCTCTGTTGCTTTTGCCCTTCCTGATCGAAGTCTAGGAGAGTAAGTCAATACTTTTTATGAGAATATATTCTCCTACTTGTATGTCTAAAGACCATGTTCTCATTCTGCAGTTCAACGTTGTTGATTTTATTTCTTACATTTTCATAATGTAATGACTGTTTCTAGTCATGTAGCCCTTAGAAACTATGTAAGTAGCGCTCAGTGGAGTGCTAATAATAAATCAACCGTTTTTGCATCTGTGTTGTTGGTTTGGCCCTTGTCACCTTCCACAACGGCATACACTTTTCACTGCCGTAGAATTGTCTTAATTGAAAAGTATGGTTGTAGGTATATTTTACAGAGCACTAACTACAAAACAAGAAACATAATAATTGTTAAAACCTCACTTAGAAGGTTGCCCTTTTATTTGGGGGTGTTTAGCAGAATGTAAAGGGAGAAAAGATACAGCCTAAGGGAAGAACATATTCAGGTTGCATGGACTTTATTTCGTGGTCCACTTCACTTTTTCCAATCCCTCCTATGGTTGCCTCTGCTGCTGGTGTAAACTGGTTTCAGTCTAGTAGTCTGTCTACCAGTGCACTGTGCTTGGTTGAATTCAGTTCAGAGTAGAGCTGGGTTTTGAACAAGAAATCAGAGACCCAGCCCAGCTCTGCCTCGGACTTGCTTTGTGACTCTGACAAGTATTTAGCTGCCCAGTTTCCTCCTCTAAAATAAAGGTAAGGACCTGGCAGCTCTTAAAGTTCCACAATTTCCCTAGACCCAGACTAGTGGTAAAGGCTCAGTGGCAGAATAGAATCAAGGATGTGAGAATTGTCTCCAGTTTTTGTTTCACCTGTAGTTTTTCTTTCCTAGGATTCGCAGAGCCGACAAGGAGGATACAGCATGCATCAGCTCCAGGGCAATAAGGAATATGGCAGTGAAAAGAAGGGGTACCTGCTAAAGAAAAGTGATGGGTATGTATGAGCCCAGCCCAGTGTCTCAGCATGTGATTAACCTAGGAAATTTTTCCAGCCTCTCATATAGGGAAACACACTTAAAAGTTTTATAATACACTAGCTGCAGACCTTTAGCACACTGGTTTTCTTCAGGTAAGTCTGTAATTTAACCTGCTCTCTTTAGAAGAAGTGGTAATTGCTCTGTGGCCCCTAAATGGCATCTCTGACTTGTAGCATGCAGCTACTGAGCTCTAAGGCAGCTACTGAGTAGCACATGCAGCAGGCAAGTGCTGACCTCATACCTACCCACCTCTCCACTTTTATTCACTGCAGTTTTCTCTGCCTGGTTGCCCACCAGGCCACCCAACCTTGGGGGTCACCCTTGACTCCTCTTTTGCCTGTCGTATTATAGCTAATCTGGCAAAAGCCCTTCCATTTCTAACTCTAAATGTAGTATACTACTTGCCATCCACACGGTCCCGGTTCTAGGGTGAGCTGCTGCCGTCTCTGCTGGCCTATTCAGCAGCCTCCCAACTGTTCTCTTTTCTTCACTCATTCTTCTTTTTCTGCATTTCATCTTCACACAGCACTTAGAATGGTTTTTTAAAAATCATAAAGCACATGATGTCATTCCCCTGCTGAAAATACTCCAGTGGCTTCCCTTTGCAAATAGCATCTCAACCCAGCCTTTCCTGTCCTGCCCCATCTTGTTCCATTTTCTCCCCGGGCTTCTGCCACATGAGCCTTCTTTTCTGTTGCTTAAACAAATGATTCTGCTTCACAGTAAGTGCATAAGTAGAATCTTGATTATTCCCTTTAATAGTTGTCTTTTTGGAGGGAGAGGATAAGACCTTGCCCTGTCTTTCAGGCTGGAGTACAGTGGCACCATCGAAGCTCACTGCACCTCCACTGCTGGGCACAAGTGATTCTGCCACCTCAGCCTCCTAAGTACCTGGGACTACAGGCGCATGCTACACCACTATGCCTGGCTATTTTTATTTATTTATTTATTTATTTTTATTTATTTTTTTTTTTGAGACGGAGTCTTGCTCTTGTTACCCAGGCTGGAGTGCAATGGCGCGATCTTGGCTCACCGCAATGTCCGCCTCCTGGGTTCAGGCAATTCTCCTGCCTCAGCCTCCTGAGTAGCTGGGACTACAGGCACGCGCCACCATGCCCAGCTAATTTTTTATAGTTTCAGTAGAGATGGGGTTTCACTGCGTTGACCAGGATGGTCTCGATCTCTTGACCTCGTGATCCACCCGCCTGGGCCTCCCAAAGTGCTGGGATTACAGACGTGAGCCACCGCGCCCGGCCCACTATTTTTATTTTTTATTTTATTTATTTACTTATTTTTGAGACAGTCTCTGTTGCCCAGGCTGGAGCAGTGGCGCGATCTTGGCTAACTATAACCTCTGCCTCCCAGCTTCAAGCTATTCTCCTGTCTCAGCCTCCTGAGTAGCTGGGATTACAGACGCCTGCCACTACACCCAGCTAATTGTTTGTATTTTTAGTAGAGATCGAGTTTCACCATGTTGGCCAAGCTGGTCTCGAACTCCTGACTCAGGTGATCCACCCTCCTCGGCCTCCCAAAGTGTGGGATTACAGGTGTGAGCCACTGTGCCTGGCTGCAGCTAACTTTTTATTTTTTGTAGTGATGGGGTCTCACTGTGTTGCCCAGGCTGGTCATGAACTCCTCGGCTCAAGTGATCCTCCTGCTCAGCCTCCCAAAGTGCTGGGATTATAAGCATGAGCCACTGCACCTGGGAACAATCAATCGAGAACATTTCCTTACCTGCAAATAGACCCTTCTTAGGAGGCTGCTGAACAGTCCAGGAGAGATGGCAGCAGCTCACCCTAGAGCCGGGACCGTGTGGATGGCAAGAAGTATACTACTTTTAGAGTTAGAAATGGAAGGGCTTTTGCCAGATTAGCTATAATACAACAGGCAAAGGAGGAGTCAAGGGTGACCCCCAAGGTTGGGTGGCCTGGTGGGCAACCAGGCAGAGAAAACTGCAGTGAATAAAAGCAGAGAGGTGGTTGGGTACAAAGCTGAGGTGGGTGGATAACAAGGTCAGGCCTCCCAAAGTGCTGGGATTACAGGCGTGAGCCACCCTGCCTGGACTAATTTTTTTTTTTTTTTTTAAATATATACAGGATCTCGCTGTGTTGCCCAGGCTGGTCTTGAACTCCTGGCCTCAAAAAATTCTCCCACCTTGGCCCCCCAAAGTGTTAGGATTACAGGCATGACTCACTGTGTCTGGCCTGTTATCATTGTTGTTTTTTTTTTTTTTTTTTTTAAAAAAAACCCCCTTGTTGTGTGATTACTTGTGGATATGTGCTCCTTGTTTTAATCTGAGACATGTACATTTTTTGTTTTAATTTGTTTGTTAAAATTGCAGATATTTCTCTTCTAAATTTTTGAGGTCACTGACTATTTTGCTTATTATTCTACTTATGCGTTCAACAGATATTTTGAGTCCTGCTGTATGTCTAGGACCCACTCTTTTAGGCCCTGGGAATATAGCATTGAAAAAAGAAAATCTGGCCCTGATAGAGCTGACATTCTAAGGAAGGAAAGAGACAAAAATTAGTAAATATGTGGTAGATCAGATGGTAATTAGTGCCATGGAGAAAGATAAAGCAAGAGATGCAGGTGATGTGGGGGATGTGAATGGTTCTTGCTATCATTACAGGTGGTTAGGGAAGACTTTATTGAGTTGATATTTGAGCAAAGGAAGTGAGAAAATCTATACAGATAGCTGGAAGAAGAGGGAATAGTCAGGAGCATGCATCTCATGGTGACACATACCTCAGAGTTTAATGTAGCTAGAGTACTGAGCAAGGAGAATATCATAGGAGATAAAGTCAGAGGGATGGGGAACCACTCAGCGAGATGGGGAGCCATTAGAGGGTTTTGAGCCAGAAGACTGACATAATCTGACATATTTTGGAAGGTTCTCTCTGACTACCAAGCGAAGCACAATCATGAGGGTGAAAGCACAAAAACAAGGAGACCAGTTAGAGGGCTGCTTTGGAAACCTAGATGGGAGCTGATGGTGAGGCCAGGGGAACAGCAGAAGAAGGGTAAGAAGTGGTCAATTGTGGATAATGGAGGTAGGGCCAACGGGACTTGCTGATACGGGGTATAAAGAAAGAAAAGCAGCATCTGGCTCATTGTAGAATCACTTAGCTCAATCCCACTTTGAAAGTAAACGGAGAAAAGAAATACCAACTAACAAAATCAGAGCTTTAAACTGAGCTCTAGAATAGTGATCAAATGCTAGTCTAAACCACATGAGATCAAGTGTACATGAATTGAAAATTCCGTAGTGTATCTTGCTGAAAAGCCTCAAGCTCAGCTCCTTGTTCTTCCCTGACCATCTGTGGTATCAACATCTCTTGGAAACATGGTGACCTGTTACTCTGCCATCAAGTGGAAAATTAATATTGTGTTCCATTAGGAGCAACAGTGTACTATTATGTATCTTTTGAGGCAAAAGTATAAAAGTCATTTTTTTAACACTAGTCACCTGAAATCACAGTGACCTTGAAATTAGAATTGCCTATTTCTAAGTGAAGTGGTTAAAATCTGAATATCCAAGGAAGATCAACAGAGTCTTTTCATAAGTGTTGCTTAGTTCAAACCCTAAAGTGTTCAAGTAAATTATCATCTTGTGAGCACCTGTGTGTGCCTGCCACACACCCAGGCACCCGCTCACTCATCTCATTTGACACGTTTTGCAGAGAGGTTAAATAACTTGACTAAGATCATATGGACAGTAAGTATGAACACCCAAATTTGAACCTGTGTCTTCTGACCTCATGCCAGGGTATCTCCCCTTTGTTTTTCAAAGGGGCCACTGCTGCTGTTGATCACCCTTGGGATATGCACGACGTAAACTGGCACAAGTTCTCCCCCTTGATTTCTTCATTCTTTTGGTCTCTTCTTTCATGTACTCATTCCACACACATGGATGAAATACTCTAGTATGTGAGGCAGCCTGTTAGATGCTGGAGGTAAACATAAATGAGATATGGTTCTTACCCTCATCTTGAATGCAGTCTGTTGGGAAGAGATACAGAAGGAGCTATTGTATCATAGAATTGGAAAGGAAGTCAGGCAGCTCCACCTCCTAATAATCGCACAGATAGCAAAGATGAGTACTAATAACCGGGAGTTGCTTGTGATTGCTTCTGTGAAAGAGTAAAAAGTTGAAACACTTATACATGAAAACAGACTCATTTGCAGACAATGACTGCTGATAGTTCCTGTGACTTTTCTCTGAAGTATTATTTGCATTAGTAATTTTTGACCCTAGTTTTGGAATGCTCTTTATCACTTAAAGGATTATTATACAATTTGAAAAATGATTTAAAATTTTAAATAATAATGTTTTAAAACATTATGGACCAGAGGCAATTATTGAGAGGCAAAGGAGCAATTGCTTTATTATATTTTCTCATTATATGTACGAAGGTGGGCATTATTACCTTCGTAATACAGAAAAGGAAACTGAGTCTCCAAGAGGTCAAGTAACATGAGCAAAGTCATATAGCTAGAAATTGGTCTGGGATTGAAGCTCAAATGATCTAGCATCAAAGTTGGAACATACCTATTTATAGGAGACCATTTTCTAATAGAATTTTTTTTCCTGGAATTGTAAAAGTCCAGCGTGGCGTAATCAGTAATTATGTGTGGCACTCTCTATGCATACCAGATGGCAAGAGTCCTTGGTATGTCCATTCAGAAGCTATGCAGACTGGAGCATTTGTAAAGCTTTCAGTACAGAGAAGGGAGATCACAGCAATTCAGTCTAGTCCATAGAAGTCTTGGGAATAGAAGCTATCAAAATGTTCACAAAGATCAGGTGCTGTCTGGGCTTGGTGGCTCATGTGTGTAATCCCAGCGCTTTAGAAGGCCGAAGCAGGTGGATCACTTGAGCCCAGTAGTTCAAGACCAGCCTGGGCAACATGGCAAAATCCCATCTCTACAAAAATTAGCCAGATGTAGTGGCACATGCCTGTAGTCCCAGCTACTTAGGAAGCTAAGGTGGGAGGATCGCTTGAGCCTGGGAGGTCAAAGCTGCAGTGAGCCATGATCGTACCACTGCATTGTAGCCCAGGCGACAAAGTGACACCCTGTCTCACCAAAAAAAAAAAAAAATCGGCGATACTGCTCTCAGCTATGCCAGGAGATATCTCAAGATTATTCCCTTTCCTCTGGCAATCTGAAAGTGCCTCAGTCACAATCTCTTGTCAACCAAAGAGTAATGCTTGGCTTTATTAGCAGTGCAAGAGAAGAGGGGTGTGTGTGTGTGTGTGTGTGTGTGTGTGTGTGTGTGTGTGTGTGTGATGTGCTTCCATAATATACATGGATAAGTAAAACTAATGAATAAAAGCTTAATAAAGTGGGTAAACTGAGGTTTTAAACTATTCCTGAAGGTTGAATGGTTTGATTGTTGGGTTCGGTGTTTGATACTTGGGATGACACTGGTTTTAGCTTAGTGTGTACAGGAATGCCTCACCTGTGTTAGCAGGCTCTTGTAAGGGTAAGATGGATGCAAAACTATTTACAGTGAGTTAGTCACATTCACTAAATGTGGCTCTGATTAGTTGAGAGCTATTACCTCTAATCAGACGTTTCCATGGTCAGTACTTCTAGAAGAAAATATGTGATTTAGCTGTAATTTGAGGATGGTTTATCAATTAATTAGTAGTTAGCCTCCTGAGCAAGGCTAGCATTTTGAATACAGTATATTCAATTTGCATTTGGCTAGATGGTGTCAAATTGTTACTTCCCTCTGTGAAGCAAGCTTTAGAACAAACTGTGCTTCTAATAGTTAAATACACAGTATTATTTGTGTTTGGAGATGGTTTTAAATTTGTGTTGTGGCAGCTTTCTTAGAGGACTGATTTAAGAAGGAAAAGAAAAACACTAGATGATACTGTTTTAAATGCCTGGGAAAGCTGTGGTGGTCTCCTGATGTCATGTTTCCATGGCATCAGAAAGCCTTCAAAACTTTCTTCCGACCTAGGGAATCCCTATTCCCTGCCCATTTCTTCTTACCTCATGGAAGTGGTCTCAACTAGTGCATTTGCACCTACCTGCACACACGCAGATCTGCCACACATGCAGTCTCTTGCCTGTGCCTGGAGCTACACACGCACATGCAAACTTTTCCAAGTTTAAATTAGTTTTATTTTATCCTTCAGTATCTTCAAATCACATTTTTCAAAATGTGTATTGCTTGTAACTATTTGTGAATGGTTTGGTCACCATTTACTTCCCTATGCAAATCACGAACAGTTCTTTCTCTGAGCTCTAAGGCATCATTTTGTCTCTGGAAGACCCCTAAAGGGGTGGTGTATGACTTACAAAAGTGACGATGCATTCTCGAGCCCTGACTCAGCTCGTCCTGTACATTCTGAGGCAGTTCACCCCTTACTCCCTGCATGGCAGACTTCTTGAGTTACTTTCTTAATATTAATTTTTTTTGTTGTTTTGTAGCTACGGGGTTCCCCTATGTTGCCCAGGCTGGTCTTGAACTCCTGGGCTCAAGCAGTCCCCCCGCCTCAGCCTCTCAAAGTGCTGGGATTACAGGTATGAGCCACCGCACCCAGTCACTGTCTTAATTTTTAAAAATCAGTTATTAATAACAAGTAATTGAACATTCTTATGAAAGATTCACAGATATGTTTAAAAACTGCTTATTAACACCACCCCTAACAGGTTTGGGTTCCCTTCCCAGAGAGGAGTTATTATATCAGTGTAGTACCTGTAATTCCTTTATTCAGTCTCCTGCTGTTGGGTTATTATTGTTTCTGTTTCCAATTTTTACTGTCGAAAGCAGTGCTATGCTCGGGCACAGTGGCTCACACCTGTAATTTCAGCACTCTGGGAGGCCGAGGTGCGCAGATCACTTGAGCCCAGGAGTTTGAGACCATTCTGAGAAACATGGCAAAACCCTGTCTCTACTGAAAGTTCAAAAATTAGCCAGGCGCGCTGGCAGACGCCTGTAATCCCTGCTACTCGGGAGGCTGAGACAGGAGATAACCCTGATCCTGGGAGGCGAAGGTTTCAGTGAACTGAGATTGTGCCTTTGCACTCTAGCCTGGGCGACAGAGCAAGACTCTGTCTCAAAAAAACAAAAAAAAAAAACCAATACTGTAATGAGCATCCTTGTACCTGCCTACTTTTATGAATTACCTTCCACCTGGGATAATAAAAGGCAACCCGAATTTTGGTTTGGGGGGTTGGATTTTTTTGGTTTGGGGAAGTTATTTTATAATTATTATTATGTATCATACTATATCATTGCATGTCCCAGGGTGAATCAGATACTACATCTAGTTGTGTTTGACTTCCTCCTTAGGATCCGGAAAGTATGGCAGAGGAGAAAGTGTTCTGTCAAGAATGGGATTCTGACTATCTCACATGCCACAGTAAGTATGTTTCTTAATGTACCCTGCATTTGTTATGTTTTCTGGTTTCATGGGCCAGAAAGCAAACACGATTATGTACTCAGCAGTAAAAATTTGCCCAAATATCTTTATGCATTTGGGTCAGATCATTTCAGATACTGCTTTACCAAAAAAAAACAAAGTTTTATCTTGTCCTGTAACGGTCTGCATCATTCTTTGGTATCACCAGAAACTTGTTTTTTTTGCTCTCTCAAAATGAATAAGGTATTTTGATTTTATAAACTTATTTTTTGGGAACTATTGATTGTTCTGAAAAACCTAGTTTTTTGAATTATAAAGATGACAGAAGCTGTTCTTTGCATGTAAAAATAATGTAAGAAACATAACAGTAGATGCAAAAACCTTAGGGTAGTCAAAGAAGCACACAGTAAGTCTGCCCTTTTTAAACCAACAGAAAACTCCTTTCAGTTTTTAAAGATGCAGAGATTCTAGTAGAAAATGTACCAAGCAGGAATGGAAATGGCAAAGTATATGCTAAGTCTTTTTAAATGTGCTTGCTGTTTAACCCAGTAATCTCAGTTTGGATTTTAAAAACTGATTAGGCCAGGTGCAGTGTCTCACACCTGTAATCCCAGCATTTTGGGAAGCCAAAGCAGGTGGATCACCAGAGGTCAAGAGTTTGAGACCAGCCTGACCAACATGGTGAAACCCCATCTCTACTAAAAATACAAGAGAAAAATTAGCTGGGCATGGTGGCAGGCACCTGTAATCCCAGCTACTTGGGAGGCTGAGGCAGGAGAATTGTTTGAACCCAGGAGGCGGAGGGTGCAGTGAGCTGAAATCACGCCACTGTACTCCAGCCCGAGCAACAGAGTGAAACTGTCTCAAAAAAAAAAAAAAAAAACCTCATTAAATTATAGTATCCTGTGCCAAGTGATGTCCTTGGGCCGCTGCTCAATTAATTACCAACAGAATAGTAGAAATGAGAGATGAGCATCTTACACTGGCAATTTTGTATGACTTACAGCTGACTTTACATATCTCTCTCAGGGAGAAAAGGAACTACCACTTACCTTCATAAAATTTATTTCACTTAATCCTCCCAACGACCTATGTGGTATAATAGCCTTCATTTTATAGATAAAGAAACTGAGGCACAAAGAACAGCTATAACTTGGCTAGTAACTGGCAGAATTGGAAGTTCAAACTTGGGTGTCTGTCTGACATTAGTCCATGTGGCCCTTCTCTCTTTTCCTGCAGAACCCGTCATCTTACTAGACTGTGAACACCTCTTAGGCACTTACCTAGTCCTGTTCTTCTTTCTGTTGTGAGCCTCTCACACAGAACTTGACACACAGAAGACTCCTAGTACACACTTGTGGCCCAGTCCTTTGTGTAAATGACTGCACACATCTAAAGATTGTTGTCCTTTATGGAACTTGAGCAGTTGCATTGTCTTTGTCCCTTGCCCCACTGCAGCCCACTTTCCGTGATTCCTCAGAGGAATTCCTGAGGTCTTTGATTTCCCTGAAACAGCCCAGCTGAAATTTTTAGCTTTCATGCCAGTTGTGTCCAGCTACCCATCTGATAGAAATCCTACCCACAGACTTAGATCTGTTCATAATTATGATTGAGGCTATCTAAGAATTAGTCATTTCTTTAGCAATCCTTATTTAAGCTTCCATTCTGCCATGTTCTGGCCTAGGTATCAAAGATGCATGGATGAAAAATTAGCTAATTTTTACTTTCTTATATTTAATTCCATACACAGTCACCTGTGTATGCTAGAGTGAAAATTTCTGATCCTTTTACTATAGATGATGTGTTTTTAGTCAAAGAGCTACCATGTTTTTGTTTTGTTTTGTTTGAGAGAGGGTCTGGCTCTGTTACCCAGGCTGGAGTGCAGTAGCATGATCTCTGTTTACTGCAACCTCCTCATCCTAGGCCCAAGCCATCCTCCCACCTCAGCCTCCAAAGTGCTGAGAATACAGGTGAACACCATGACGCCCAGCTTATTTTGGTATTTTGTGTAGAGGTGGGGGTTTTGCTATGTTGCCCAGGCTGGTCTTGAACTCCTGGGCTTAAGCGATCCACCCACCTCAGCCTCCCAAAGTGCTGTGATTACAGGCATGAGGCACCACACCCAGTCAGAGTTACCATGTGTACCCCAAGTCTCCTTGTCTTCTGCTGCGGAGCTCTCCCCTTGGATTTGTCAGGCTGTAACAGTCCTCACTAGGCATTTTGAGAAGTTATATAATGGCTGTATCATGTTGTAATTATTTGCTTTTCTTAGAAATCTGCTGTGAAAGGCATTGCAGAGTGGTGGGAGATCATATAGTTGGTGAAGTGAATCAGTGGCACTGCTTAGTAGTTATATGACCTTGGGCAATTTGCTAAAAATAAAATAAGTTCCCTTCCCGCTCTTGTTCTTATTCCTGCCAAAACATATTGTTGTGGCCAAGCCAACTATTTATATGCATTCTTAAAGTTCAAATTAACAACAAATATCACATCACCCACATTGTCTAGTGGATAAGAGAATGGACTGTGGCATCTGTCAAATCTAAGTCTGAATGCCAACTTTGCCATTTATTTGTGACCTTGAGAAAAGTATTTACGCATAAAGATTATATGAGGATTCAGTGAGATAACATGCCATGTATGGCTATTCTGTTAATAGTTATTATTGCTGTTGCCATTAGTTTATTGGATGTTACTGACAATACTGAAACCTCTTGACAAGCAGACCCTCCTGCTAACAAACATGAGCACTCTCCTGCCCCCAGAGCAGCCTGGAGGGAAATGGCTTACTCCCCTAACTTCTGATTCCCTCCTGTTGATTTGTGCTGTTCTATTCCCCCTTTTTCATTGGCTTTGGCCCAGACCTTTTTTGCTGCCAGTTACATCACTCGTAATCACATTGCTGCTCCCGCAGAAAGGTGTCTAGTCAGTTTTAGCTGGCTTTTCCTGACTTTGCAAACACCATCGATTAGAATTAGGTTGAAAATCAAGGCCAGCAGTTTTCTGAGAAAAACATAAAGGGCTTCATTGATCTTTGAAAAAGTGGTGAGAAGAACCTTTGTTGTCAGAAAACTTGAGGTGTTTGTTTGGGAAACATGGAAATTTCTTTGGTTTGAAGGCCCTAATCAGTGTCACCCCTGCAAATGGAAGTAGAGGGCCAAGTATGCATTTAGATTAATGCTACAAGGTTTGTTGGCTTGGGCACCCAAGCAAGATCTGCTCCAGGGGTGATTCATCTCCCCAGCTTACTATTCTAGGGAGAAATACATTTCTGTGTACACCTGAAAAATTTGCAGCCCATCCTTAGAAGATTTCATTCATAAATTCTTTGCTTTTCATGTATCTGTTAAGATATAAATTTTTTTTTACTGGCAATTCAGAGAAATGCAGCACTGTGGAAACCAAATTCAGTGTGAATCTCTGAATTTGCTATAACAATAGTAATATTAATGATAGCAGCTTCCAACTATGGACCATCTAGTATGTTCTAAACACAGTATAAGATGCTTTCATTTCAAAATATCAGTTCTAACAAATATATGGCAAACATTTCGGTTAGCCTCAGGCCAGGCAAGGTGGCTCACACCTGTAATCTGCTCACGCCTGTAATCCGCACATGCCTCAGTTTGGGAGGCCAAGACAGGCAATAGCTTGAGCCCAGGAGATTGAGACCAGCCCAGGGAACATAGCAAAACCCCATCTCTACAAAAAAATGCAAAAATTAGCTGGGCATGATGGTGCACACCTGTAGTCCCAGCTACTCAGGAAGCTAAAGTGGGAGAATTGCTTGAACCTAAGAGTTGGAGGCAGCAGTTAGCCAAGGTTGTGCCACTGCACTCCAGCCTGAGTGACAGAGCCAGACCCTGTCTCAAGAAAAAAAATGTTAGCCTCAAAACTTAAGTATAAAATTTATATGAAGCCGCTATACTATTATAGATTTCTATACTTTCTAATTGTTTGCTTTTTCTAACTACAAGCATTATAATATAAATAAATGTAATAAAACAAATTACAACAGAAAGTATAAGAATTATAGTTGACATATTACTTTATTGTAGTAATCTTGAAAAATCAATTTCAAAAGTATAAGCAGCTATCCTCTTCAAAAACCCTACTCCCTGAATTTAATAACACAGCGTCACCTTGTTTAAATAATGGATATAAAAAGAGAAAGAACTACCATCTGTGGAACACTTGGAGTGCACCCTGTACTTCATCTTCAAGGTGGCCCTACAAGATAAGCATTACCATCTTCCTTTCTCACCATACTGGAAGTTCCTAGGAGGTAGGGACCGCATCTTACTCATCTTCAAATTTTTAATACCTAACACATTGCCTGACATGTTCTTAGTGTTCAGTGAACACTTTTCTAATGAGACTGCATTTTATAGATGAAGCTCAGAGAGGTTAAAGCCCATGCCTCAGGGTCATGAAGTTTGTAAATAGCTGGACAGTTTTTCAGCCTTAAAGCCTATACTCTTTCTACTGTATCATAGGGTTGTTTTTTTTTTTTCTCAGATGCCAGATTGTTGTTAGGTCTTTGAAAGTTTCATGAATAACAGTTCTTTGCAGTGGAACTCTCTACCTTGGCCTAACCTTGAAACTCCTTAAATTAGTCATAGGGTCTTAAGGGTAGAGAAAGCTGTAAGGGATTCTGGGAAGGGAGGAGGAGTACTAGTCATGAAGATAAAACAAGTGTTCCAACAATTTCTATTTGAATCAAACTGCCTAAATAATATGTTACATCTTTTAAATGTCTTCAGATGCCCATATGATTAACACTTGGAGCAGTTATTCGATTTATAGCCACTTTTTTCTCAATCAGCCAACACCAAAAGTGTTTTTAATAGCACACAGAAGTTCATTAAGGCCTGATGTTTTACTCAAAAAGGTTAAATCCAGCTGACCTCTTTAGAGGTTCCACCTCATAGGTAGATAGTGTGTGTGTGTGTCCACCTGCTTGATAGGCTGATCATTTTAAACAGGGAGATCCAGAGTAC